AGACTTTCTGATGCTCACCGGCGACAGCATCTTGAGTCTCATCCTCAAATTGATACTACGATCCATTCTTAACCAGTGAGAAGTGTCAATCGAGCTATGCTAGAGATCTCTGAATCGGTTAAGCCCGATATCGCAAGGGGATCTTACATCTCCCAGTAAAGAAGCATTAGAACCTCCGCAGGTAATCAGGCGGGATCGATTCTGTTTCCCCAGATTCATGGCGTCAATGAGGACAAAATGTTCTTTATAGTTTTCTGTCCCGGAGATATTCCACCGAGGGGCGAGGAGCTGGGGAGTGTTGGAGGGAGGGAGGGAGGGAGGGAGAGAGGGAGAGAGAGAGAGAGAGGAAGAGTGGCAATTAGTATTGGGAGGGAGAGTGAGAGGATTGCAGGGATGGAAATTTTGTAAGGATGGTAGAGAGCTGAGAGCAGTGGAGTCAATGGTGATAGTTGCGGTGATGGTAGTTTAAGCCTTTCACTCCTCTGATTGATTCACAAGCTGCATGTTCCATCTGGTTTCATCACGCATGCAAGTATAGCACACGATGCAGACGAGTTGCCAGCTGCGCGTTCGAACCGAGCATGACGTAAAGAGACTGACGAACTGTGTCGAGGAGAGGAAGGGGAGAATGCTTGTAGGGGAATTTATAGATCATCAAGTCATATGTCCAAGTTCTCCTCCCTCTCCTTCTCCTTGCTTGTCTTCCTCACATCGCAATCGCAGGTACCGCCAAACCTCCGCCAATGCCCTTCGGGTTGGGCGAGGAGAGCGCCAAGATGGTGAACAGCACAGTAGCCGCTCTGGACAAGCTCCGGGCATCCCTGCAAGAGGCAGCGATGATATGCAAGCCCATGCGAGCAGTGGAAGGGATCGAGACGGAGGAGTTCGACGCCGCTGACTTGGAGGAGGAGGACCCTGAGGAAGGAGTAGGAGTGGACGAGAGGGCAGCATCGCTATCCCCTGAGGACTTCCTGAACGAGGAGGAGGAATGGTTTTCATCAGCGCGATGGATCATGGGGAGGGAGGAGACGGCGGAGTTCATGAGAAGGGCCCTCAAGAGCCACATCGCTCCGCTGTACATCCCGCTGGCCGACAACAACAGGAGGGACGCGGAGGAGATCGTTCCTCGAGACGTTGACGCGGACATCTGCGAGTTCGTGCTTGAGTTCCTTGCTGATCGGAACTTGCGATCGGAATCAGTGAAGGACGTCAGAGACGACCTTAGCGCTGCGCTGGGGGAGCAGGGAGTAGCTTTCCTGCCGCATGACTACCCCGTGTACGATGACGCGATTTCGATATCCAGCGAGCGGGAGGAGGAGGAGGAGGAGCAGCAGCAGCAGCAGGGGAGGAGGGAGGAAGGGGGGAATCAGACTTTACCTCCTCTCGGACCCTTTGCGGAGAAGGTGAGCAGGGGAACGTCAGGGGAGCATCGTTATGTGACCCTCCCTGCAGTTCGACGACACGGAGGAAGGATGGAGCGCCTGGCATCAGCTGTTTGTGGAGAACGTGAGACGTCGGCCGTGCAGCGTGCAATCGTGACGAGACCCTTGTGCCCGCAGAGTGAGGACGAGGACGAGGACGAGGACGAGGACGAGGACGAGGACGAGGACGAGGACGAGGAGGGCGAGGGCGAGGACGAGAGCAAGGAAGAGAGCGCAGGGGCTCCAAGGCGATCGGAGGGGAAGGAAGGAGCTGCGATGCTTCAGACTCCCCGGGTAAGCAGAGATGCGGGGGGGAGGAGAGGAAAGGAAAGAGTGGGAGGGGATGAGAGAGGGGAAGGAAACAGGACAGGGAGGGGAGGAGGAGGAGAACGCAGCAAGACTGAGAGGAGAGGCAGGACCATCCCGTCTCGGAACTGCTTCGAGAGATCATTGTCGACACGTTGACAAGATGCCGTGGAGACGCACAAGTTTCAAAACACGCCGAGAAGTTGATCTCGTCGCTCATCTACCGGATTAGGTCGGTTCGTTGCGTGATGTTGTTGCAGCAGGTGTTGTACTTTGTTACAGCTGGTGATGGTAGTGGTGGTGGTTACAATCCTGAAGATGACAGCGGTCAAAGTGATGGAGATTGTGTGGGTGATCGTGATAATGACGCAATCAATATCTCACTTTGCTGTGCTTGCATCCTGACAACGTCATCATCAGGAACGGAAAGAACATGCGCAATGCACTGATGCTCATCCACCGTGTTTGTTGCTATCCAGCTATACCTCAAAGTGCCATCACACTGAACGTGGCATGGCAGGTCTGTGTACATCTTCCCCTCCCCTCTGTATGACGATGAACCTGTGAACTCTCCTCCCCTTGCAGGCGGTTCTTTCCGTCCTCCTCGCTGGCCCTCTCAGGCAGATCGAACTTGAGCACGAAGACCTCCCTCCAGCCCTCGTCCGTCGAGCGCGGGTACCTTCTCCTCTCCTCCTCCTCGTCATTGGCCTCTCCCTCCCTCTTCCTCATCCTACACTCGCTGCCTCTCCTCTACTCTCCTCCTCTTGCTGTCCTCTCCCTCCCACATGTTCAGCTCTCCTTAGCTCTCCTGCCTTCCTCCTTTCCTCTCGTCGCTCCCTGCTCCTCGCGCTAGCCGTTTCCCCTTCTCCATCATCTCACTGATACCCTCCGGTCCTTTGTAGCATTTCGCAAAGAACATGATCGACCCTGGCGAGTGTCCGGTCAAGTCCGGTGAAGTCAACAACAAGCAGCTCGCTTGCAGGACTGAGAGCTTGTCAAAGGCGATCAAGACCTCACCTTCGAGCGACACGTACTGGACGAGATGAGAGGAGACGAAGAGCTCTGTCTTCATGCTACGGTAGCTGCTCCGTCCTCAGAGGAGGAAAGGGTGAAGGCAGTGCAGGGATGGAGTTTGAAGTTCCTCTTCGAGGGGTTCGACATCGACAACATGGAGGTTCCCCTCCCCTCTTTTGCTCTCGCTACCTACACTTCCTCCCTTCGTCCTCCATCCCTTTCCCACTCCTTCCTCTCTCAGACAACCCCCTCTCCACTCTCCTCTACCTTCCCTGAGCAAATACCTTTTCTCTATTCCTCTCTTGCCATCATCAACGTATCCCTCCTCCTCACACCCTCGCAGCGACGAAGGCATGCCTTCCGACAGAGTGCAGGTCTGCTGCTTGCAGACAGGATAGAGTTTCTGATCTCCCATGGGAACAGACGAAATGATCCATGGACCCCTTGCCGCCGTCGTCGTCTCCGGCTCCAACGAGTGGGCATGGAACGCATCGGTCGTTCCTCGACCAGAGTTTCCTCTTCTCACCCTCCTACCCAGAACGTCTCAGAGGATCAAGAGCTCGCTGACTTCATCGCCGTTTACTCGGACAACTTCGTCTTGAGGTCCCCTAACATCCTCTCTCCTCTCCCTCCTCTCCCTCAATCCCTCCTCTTTCCCTCCCCTTCTTCAACTCCTCTCACTCTCTCGTCCCCTCCCCTCACTCCTCTCCTCTCCCTCTCTCTCCGTCCCCTCCCCTCACTCCTCTCCCTTCTCTCCCTTCCCTTCCTCCACGAGTTTTACACCAACTCCAGCTACCGAGACACCTTGTGCTCTGTCCTTGACGACCTCAGCGATGCTCTCAAGCTCGCAGGCTTTCCAGGTGTCCTCCCCACTTTCCTCCTCCCCTATTCCCCTCATTCAGTTCTCCATCCATCTCCTCCTCTTCCCCCCCTTGCCGCTTCCCGTCCCTCTTCTGCTCTCTACCCTCCACTTCTGCTCCTATCTCTCCTTGCCCCTGCTTGACTTTCATGCGCCGCAAGTGCGCAAGGGGCTGCAGAACAGGGGGGCAGCGGAGGATCGACCGGCAAACCTGAAACCCCAGCTTGGCGAGAGCAGCATCCCCAACCTGGGAGTCCTGCCGCAAACCCCTGTTAAACAGGACGCGCCAGGACACCCGCACACGCCTTCTACTCCTCTAGATTCCCGAGAGCCTCCTCCGGTCGAGCTGGACTCCACTCCTCTGCCGCCCACGCCGCCAACCGGCTAAAGCAGCTGGGAGAGGAGCAGCCCAGCAGCTGTGCATATCACCGACAGATTTGATTTATTTTTTAAATTTGTCATCGTTCTTGTCAAGATGCTCCCCATCTTCGCCTCAAACGCGAGTGTGAGGCAGACTTGTCAGCTTCCTCCTACTTTATGCCCCTGTACTCGGTCACCCCGCCTTCATCCCCGTTCACGAGCAAGTTCTCTTGTGTTCCCCCTTTGCTGCTTCTTTCAAAGGCTCGGATTCGCGGCCACTAGGAAGCAGTGTGCTTTGCCGTTCCGCCTTACAATGCTCAAATCGATATTACAAGAGACCTTTACCCAAAACAGTCAGAAGACGCGCGAAGATGGCAGAGCCGAGAAGCACAGAGGAAGAACGAGAGAACGCGATACCTGTTGTGAATCTTTTCTTTGCAGTTTGCACATATAGGACACCGGAGTCGCCTGCTCGATCATAGATATTAGGTGGAAGCAACTCATTCAAGTCGCCGACCTGTGGCGAATTAATCATGTGATGCCAGCGCTCTGAAGAAGCTTCTGTGTCCGCAGGAGCGGTAGCACTGAGCAGTGAAAGCCCACTAATCTCCAACCTTGTATACCTGTTTTCTCATTAGGAATACGAGCAGATGTGATGGTGAAGTACCCAAGCAGAGTGCAGAAGGCAGTGTTAGCTTCCCATATCCTGCTATCCAGCCCCGTGAAGCATAATGGTTGCCGCGTTACATCAAAGCAACATCGAAATTCAGCCATGGTTGGAGTCCCTGGTTCCTGCTCAGTCTTCGCAGAGCTTGCCTCTTCCTGTAACAGATGACATTCATCCCTGCGTAACAAACAACAAGCCATGTTCCACCTGTTCTAACTCGCTTAAAAGCTGCTTGATTAATGCGATTGAATGGTGCAGAATGGCATTTTTATCGAATTTGGCACTATCGCCACCATACGGAAGCAGCCCACGTAACTCATCAAAATACTGCAAAGCCATCCTGTTAGCAACAAGCAACGATAGTTTCACACGTTACCTGTTTCGCTTTCTCTCTTCTACGCTGTTCAACTTCCTTGTGGCTTAAGCGTTTATCAGGCTCAGGCTGCATCGGAACCACCGGTGCTCCACCCAAATCCTGTCATTTACTCAGAAGAGTCCATGCGCCAAATGACATCACGTCTGCAGAAACATGTGGAATAGCAGCTTGTTCTTCTCGAGCTAAATTTGACATCTGCCGATACACGAGACATGTCAGTGGTTTTCTAATTGCGTGTACTGCTTGCAACCTGAACATTCGTCTTGGACGGAGGTCTTGCCACTGGAGATCTCACAGCGGCTGATGCAGCTGATTTCCCTATACGTGCTTCGTCAGCACCGCAGTGATCAAGGAATTTTGTAGAGTCACCGATATTCAAGTTTCCGCTCAGTACTCCAGCAGCACCAGGAACTCCAGCAGCCACCGCGGCGAAGCCAACATCTTGAATTATAGCAGCAGCACTGGAGGGCAGACAACATTATTTGATAAGAAATCGACAGACATGCTTTGCTTACGCGCTTGAAGTCTGAGATCCAGGGATAGAGCGGTTTACATGTGGACCTCCAATGATTCGTGCAGCTGTTGTTCCCGCCGAGTGTGACTGTATCGAGGCGCTGGTAGCCTGCACGAATGCAAAGAAGGGTCAACTGGGATACATACCCCATGCAACTCATGCACCTGCTTCGTTGCTGCGCTAGAGATCGTCGTGGTTGCCCTCGAGTGTAGATGAGAGTACGTCGTAGGCATGGTTGGGGGAAGAGTGTCTCCTATATCATCCATTTGAAAAGTTCCCTCGATGTCGTCATACTCACTCGCATCCTGCAACAGAAATCAAACTTTGTCCCTTCAGCATTTCAAGCATCAAATCAGCAAAACACCACTCAACAAGAAAGAGCACGTCAGTCCCAGAGCACATAGGTGCACTTACAAAGTGTGTATGCGCAGGACCCCACAACCCATCGGTGCCAGAATGCTCCGGGATAGAAGACATGCCGCCGGTGCTTTCACCGTAAAGGTCATCGAGCATGTGTGTATCGTCAGGGGATACTCCTCCATGCAGGAAAGAGGAAGCTCCTGTCCCCCCCCTTGTTCGAGTGCCAGATCGAGACATGTCATGATCGCCCAACCCCTTGGGTTTCAGCATGGAAGAACGATCAACAAGCGCACTCCTCAGCTGTTCCAGCGAGTTCGTTCTTTCATTGCTACCAGGGATGAAGTTCTCGACATCCTCCAACAGAGCATGCAGATTGTCTGGGGAGGAGGGTCGAGGAAGACTGTCCCCATGAAAACCGTGCAAAGTCAGATCATCCATCCTAGTCAAATATATCCAAGTTTTTCGACAACGCAGGGCTCCTTTCCTTGGGAAGCGCTTCGACCAGAAGGGGCCAGAAAAACTGTTTTCTGGTGTACGCTACTTTAGATTCGTAACTGAACAAGAAGATCGCAAATGCTGGAAATGTGCCGCCAACCCCCGTCCTGCTGTATCTCCCACTCTGATGCCGTCCAAAGCTGGATAAACACAACCAGGACAATGTACAACTTATCTGGACACTGAAGGAGGCTAAGAGCACGGCCCCAGGCTCGCACAGTCTTGATGAGTTTGTTTCCTCAAGCTTCAGGTTCCCTCTACCTCCTCCTCCTCCTCCTCCTCTCCTCCTCGCTTACTCTCGGCTCTGCTCTCGTCCTCGCCATCCTCCGGGCCTTTGCGCTGAGACTACCCCTACCTATCCTTGGAAATATGCACCCCCTTTGTCCTGTAGTCACCCTCCATCTATATAGAATGAACCCCACCCTTTCCCCTGATTCTCCACCCCAAGCAAATAAGAACCCCACATTCCAGCCATGTACCCCTGAGGTTTGGACCATCATACCACCCACCCGGCAATTTTACCTGTCGAACCCCCTACGTACATAGTTGCTCACAATCCCAGTACCTTTGCATACCCCCTGACCCCCCTACACCACCCCTACCTACACATATCATAATTTGTACCCCTACCACCTTCAACCATTTTTTTATTCCACCCTGACCACTACTAGCCAGAGAATCGATCTTGGTACCGGTAGAGAATTGTACCGTACCCCCTACATTCTCAATACCCCACCTCTCGAAAACGGCTCCCTACCCTTCGTTCAGGCTTTCAAGACCACCCCCTTGACATATACCCTACCATACTCGCTACCATTTCTTATTAGTTGAAGCCACCTACCCCACCATAAAATTTCTGGGGAATAGTACCCACGACGAAACAGTAAAATGGTACCCACCCCTACTATCATCGCGCAATCGCCCTACCTCCTAGAGGACCTCGGGTCGACCTTACTACTGGTGCTCCGTCCAACAACCACCCTACCCTTTAGACATCACCTAGATACCCCTACCCTAGTATACTTTTTACCTCTTATCACAGTACCCCTTTCAAAATTTAAAAATCCACCCACCCTTCAATCTCCGTCTGACCCCCTTGGACAGAATGTTGATAACCCCACCCTTCCCTGCTGGTTAAGTCGTTTTCTCCCCACCCCTACAGTATAAAAATTACTACCCCTACCCCCAAATTCCATTTTACTGTTCTCTTATCGAGAAACCCTACCTACTCTGATTTTATATATGTGCTCTCACACTACCACCCCTTATTTGCAAATGACTTACCCTGATCTAACTGAATCCCACCCCACCCCAACCCCCTCCTCCCCTAATGTTCTCGACCCACCCAGCCTACAAGCTTGGACAACCCTACCCCGCAGACCCCTCGGACCCCACTACACTTCTTTACTATCACCCTACCTCCAAATCATCGGTAGAAATAACGCATATGACCCGGTGGTCGTTGAAACCTTTCCACACGATGGTGATCCACCAGTCGGATGTTCACGACGGCAGGAATGGGAGGAGGCACGAGGGGAGAGGAGATGAGTTTCGAGTGAGGGGAGAGGAGAGGAGACCGGCAAGAAGATTGAAGGATAGAGAGTGGACTACTACACTCATTTCACTCCTTTCATGGTGTTTTACATGGATCCTTGAATGCCGCAAACAACTTTCTCAGTTTGCGTGTAAGAAGCCGCGGTTGATTTGATTTCTCTAGGTGGATGGAAGTGAAGGTTCATCTATTTGCCAAGGCTAAGGAGCTCGCAGGAGGATCTTTGTACATAACCTGCAGGTACGACCAAACGCAAGAGAAGGTTGGAAAACTGACGATTCTAGCAGACTGGAGGGATCGAGCATATTGTGTAGAGATTTCTTAGAGAACCACGTCTTTGAGGTCTTTTAGGAGACTTTCTTTGTCTTTCTATCTGAATTTGGGCATTGCAAGGTTGAGCCGAAGCTGAGGGTGTTGAAAGATAGGTAAGGAAGTCAAATACACACTGCAACATGACACAATTCATCAGTGCTTATCTCGCAGTGAATGACAACTACGTCCTGCCTGAAGATAGACTCGATCTGAAGGAAACCGACGACATTGCATTCATTCCTCCGATCAGTGGTGGATAGGTTGAGATAACTCTGATAGATGATTTTGTTGATCTGTCCTGTAGTTCTGGCCTGGGTGATTCCAATGTCGACAGAAGACAAGTCTGTTGATGTATCCCTTGTTAACGGGCCGGTCAATTACGAGGAACCGCCATTCTACAGGTTGAATTTGCTTCCTGTGAGTCGTACGGCTGATGATTGATATGGCTGTGTAGGCAAGGAGGAGGGGAGAATGCGTTCCTTGGACGTATGCAGCATGTCCACTCGTTCGGTATCCATTGAAATTCCCTCAGGGACTAGACATGAAGAAAGTGCTTCTCATGGCATATTGAAGTTGCTGAGTGCGTGAATTTTGATGGGAAGGCTGGGCCTGACAAAGGCATCCACAGGATATGAAGCAAAAGAGAGTATGGCCACCAAGGTTCTCTTGGAGCTCCAGTCAAACATCATGAGGTTTGATCTTGCGTCCAGATGCTTCAGCAGATTGCTCAAGAAGCCATGGATCGCCATCAGCTACTCTTCGTCCGAATTCGCCACTCAGTTGGAGAGGTTCCGGTGGGCGATGCTTCAGTGCTCGTGCAGGTGAATTACGACAAATTTTTCTCTCCTGAAGTGCTGTTTGCAAGGTGATTGGGATACATAGAAAAGAAACATTCGAGGCAACAGCCGAGATTATGGACAGGCTCAAGAAAAAGGTCATACCCAATAGAGTTGGTAAGTCTTACAGCATTCCCCTCTCAGGTTCCTATATGGAAGCAGGAGGTTTGGGAGGTAAGACGGGATCTGGCCACGCTTTGCTCTTGCTGATACTTCCTATCATCGTCAGTCGGGTGCGACATGGAAAGACGGGAGTGTCGTCGATCCATCTGCATGAGATATAATTGGACGGTCTTTCGATCATTCACTGCCGACTAGTCGGCATAACCTGACAGCTCTTCGTCCTCATCCTGTACGAGTGGGTCAGTCTATGTGAAGGGATGCAAAATGTAGAGGGAGTGAGCATGCGGTCAATAGAGAGTATTTTTTCTAAGCACATATCATCAGAGTGCGATAGTTGTCACTCAGATATCAAATAAGAATTTACTAGCAGCGAGCTTGTGAACATGTTCACGAATAGGGCTAACTATTTGAGTTCATGAACAACCTTATTTCTCTCTGCACTTTCTTTGATAACGTCTCTCATCATCTGCTTGACAACCAGAGCAAAGTTTGCAAACTCTGTCATTCGCTCTTCACGATCTTTTTCAACCTTGTTTTCGATGAATGTCTGCATATGCTTTGTCCTTTCATCGTACAAGGTAATTTCTCGTGAACGGACTGTTTGTTCCATTTCCTTCGCTGCATCCAACCTGTCTTGTACATATTTCTCTTTGAGATTGAGCTCTTGTTCCTTCTTGCGCAAATTTTGATCCACCTCATGGACTGTGTGCTCTCTCTTGCTGACCGCGAGCTCTCTTCCATACATCATCTGTTCCTTCATCAGCAACTCCCTTTCCCTCATGTACATGAATTGCTCCTTTTCACGCATGCTGTAGTCCGTTCCTCCAGATTTCTGTCGAGCTTCTTGTTCCTTCTTTGCTACTGCCTCCTCTCGCTGCTTCACCTCAGCTTCCACCTTGAGCGCAGCCTCTAACTTCTCTTGAACTTCCTGTTGAGACTTACGCACTCCTTCTTCCTTCTTCTGGACCTCCTCCTCCTTGCTAGAGATCTTTTTTTCTAGCTCTTTGCACCTTTGCTGCAGGTAGTTCACGGTCTCTTCTCTCCCGATCACTTCCTTCTCTCTGTTCTTGATCGCTGCCTCCCTTTGCTGAACAGCCTGCTCCCGGTTCTTCATCATCCGTTCTTGCTCTTGCACAAGTTTCTCTCTCTGTTTGACCGCCTGCTCCCTCGATTCAAACTGTTGTCCATCGCTTCTCCTCCGTGATTGACAATGCAGGGCAATTTGCAGGACCTTGCATGGTTCTTGATTATCTTCTCGCAGCCTTCTCTTCTCATCAAGAACACGGTCAAGCCTTTTCAAAACTTCGCTCCAAGTCTGGTACCAATCACATTGCAACGGATCACTGAAATTGTCATGAGACAGTGCTAACTCCTTGCGAACAACGACAGTGTATTGGTTAAACTTCGTTTGCGCTAATTTCCAAGGTATTTCGTTAATCAAGGGATCCTTGCCCGAAACAGCATTAAGCAACTGCGTCCAGTGGATTTGCGGATTTTTCTCAACAATCGAAGAGGGCATGTCCAACCAGGCCTTAGCAAATATAAGAATGAGCTTGTTTGCATGCTCTGGATCCGCGGGCCAAATCGTCTTTCTCTTTTTCGACTGCTTCTCGCCAACTTCGACTTCCGAAAACAGCTGCCATGGATGAATCCGCAGTTCCTGCAATGGTGTCTGCACACTACCAGCTTTGCAAGTTGACACATCTCCTTTATAGTTCGATCTTTGTATGTTTACGATGCCAATGGGCTCGGCGATCACCGCAAGGGGAGCACGCATCTCCCTGTTACCCGCTGCCATGCCTTGTTACCCTCTCCCGCCTTCCCGCCACTCCCGCGGAAATCACAAGGCACGGCATTCTCGCAATTTTTCTCCTGCTTTTGAAATATACAGAGAAACATTTCAAATGAACCTGAGATTCCAGTCAAACGCTACGAGTTGACTGATGTTCAAAACAGATTTCTCTTCAAAAGAAATCCGAAGTTTGTTCTCCGACTAGTCTACCAAAATTTCTAGTCACTGAGTGGAGCTGCCAGAGTGCGCTGCCCGGCGGCAGGCGGCGGCCTGATGGCCCCGGCCCGGCCGACCCGGGCCGCCGATCGGATGAAAGTTCGACAGATCGGATCCGAAGTTCCGGGTTCAATTCCCCGAACTGGGCCGGGGATTGGCGCGGGGGGGCCGCCCGTACGGTCTCAGCCGGAAGCCTCAGAGGACCTCGGGAGTCAGAAGACCCTAGTGCGGGCCCAGCAGAGCACTGAGTCAGGCCCCGTGACTCAGCACTGCGCTCGGACCGTTGACGGTTGAATGAGCCGCTGGCCTGAGCAGGCTAAGGCCCGGCGGTGCGGCACGAGGCCCCGGGCCCGGTGAGGCGAGGCTCAGGGCGAGGCTGCCGGGGCGGGAGCATGAGGGCGATGAAGTTTAACGGACCCACCATGGAGCCCGGGGAAGGGATGTGGGAGGAGCTTGAGGAGCAGGGGAGGGAGAGCGAGGACGCCTGGTTGAGCCAACTTCCTGAGGAGCAGGAGGGAAGATGGGGAGGAGGAGGAGACGTGCTCTCATGGGCCGATGATCTCAGGTTCGACTCTGAGGAGCAAGGGGCCCACTCTCGCCGACAGTCACTGGTGGAGAGCGAACGGTCCGCCCATCGATCTGTGCTGGAGTTGAAACGGGGGATCGAAGATGAGATATCAAAGGTTGGGGCATTCGCGTATGAAGACATCACCCCCGAGGAATCTGAAAGATATTTCGAGGACATGAGGAATCGACTGAGGATCATCGAAGAAGACAGGGATGTCCTTCAGGAGCATGTTCTCAAGCTGCAGAGGATTGTCGATAACGAGAAGCAGAGCAGGCAGCAGGCTGAGAGAGATTACAGAAAGACCAAGGAAGCGCTGGAAGAACTGGACAAGAGCAAGGCAGAGATCCAGAAAGTCAGCACCAACAAGCTTGTACAGTTAGAAGAGGAGGTCAAGCTGCTGAAGATGAAGCATGAAACAGCCCAGAAGCGAGGAGCAGCAGGACCCTCAGTCGATGTTCTTGACTCTCTCAAGCAAAGAACGCTGTACATGGAGGAAGTCTCAAACAAGAAGGCAGAGGAAATGGCGCAGAAGGAGAAAGAAATGATACGAGCACTGGGTATCACTTTCAAAGTTCTCCAACTTCAAAAGGATCACTCGGAGAAGGTTGATCTTGTTGTTCTTCTTGTTGTTGTCCTTGTTGTTGTCCTTGTTGTTGTCCTTGTTGTTGTCATTGTTCTTCTTGTTGTTGTTGCCATCTTGCCGATTTTGACTGACTAGTCCTGCAGATCAATGCATCCGAGGGAAGGATAACCTCTTATGTCGACAAGGCTGGTCCTTGACCTTGCTCCGTCCCTGCTGCTGGTGTTCACTTGTACCTGCAGTCCGTGAAGTGCAAAAGCTGAAAGAGCTGAAGATGAAGAATGTAGACATCCTGCTAGCCCTTGAAAGGTAGAGAAACTTTCTCTCCTTGTGAGTTTCACTGACGCTGTGTCGCAGCAAAGTCAACGTGCTGTACGATAACGCCGGCCGGAGGTCAAGGGAGCTGTTCGCGATCAGAAACCAGATGGTCGCCTACCTCGACAAGGTCTGGATGTCAGGGTGCGGTGCTGATGCCAGTCACTGATGTACGAGTGACAGCTGAAGTCAAGATGTGAAGCCTTGCGCGACCTAGAGGTTGCTTTAGAGAGGGAAGCGGAGGTTTGCTTTCCAATATTGTGCAAGGATACGTTTGATCCGCTGCATATGCAGGCGGCCCAGTACGAGGTTGCTCTGCAGGCACACTTGATGCAGGAGTATGAGATTGACTCGAAGTCAACTGAATATCTCAGATGACGAGCACTTGGAGAATGATGTCTCGTCCACCAACACAAGTCAAGAGATATAAATTACTATTCAGAGAGTTCCGAAGGAGCGAGGATATTGGAGGTTTTTGACTAGATTAATCTAAAGGATTGATGTACAGAAGCAGAAAGAGCTCTTCCTACTGGTTCACCGCGTCTTCTTTCATAACCATCTACACACCACAAGTCAGCCCGTCTGTTCAAACATGCCACCACGAATACCCGCGGTAGAGAAAACTTTGAAGTATTACACCTTGCAGAAGACTCACTTAGAGAATACAACGACAGAAAGCAGTAATACCTCTTGCCATATGCCACGAGCTTTCCTGCGAGGACAGACAAAGTGAGCACAAGAGAAAGTGCAATCTTGCCCCTTCACCTTGATTGTAAAACACAGAGTGTTCCAGCCTGCCCTCAACCAAGTAGCCGGCTCCATGCTTTTGGTCTTGAGAACGTCAAGACAGAGTGAGTTCCAGCGGTTCCAGCGGCGCTCAGTTACCTTCATACCAGTCGCCGTCATAGGAATCGCCATTCACATACCTAGAGCAAGAGATAAGGAGGCGCTGCACAGCTTCAAGGAGCGGTAGACATGAAGCATCCTTTGCCGTGCATCTTTGACTGGTACCACTCTCCCTGATAGACTCGCCCGTCTGTCGATTGCTCGTTAGAACATCCGCTACCGTTCTCTTCAGACTTGTACCTTTCCAAGTGTACCTGCCGCTCCCCTGAAACTTGCCATTGCTGACTTCCCCTTCATACTCATCGCCTGTCATTGCGACGGTGAGGACACGAAATGCAATCTCCACAACGGGAGGGAGGAAAGCAGGAGCACAAGGACAAGGATGGAGGAAGGAAGGAGTTTGCGGACAGTAGTCGAGACATCTTCGCACCATTCACAAAGATGTAGCTTCCCTTTCCACATGGCTCGTTGTCTTTCCATTCTCCCTTGTACCTGCGACCTGTATCCAGCCTTACAAGTGGACATGGTCGCTGATCGTATGTGATCACCGTTCGCTTCTACCATGACGCCCTCACCATTCTTCGCATCATGCAAGAAATCTCCCTCATAGATGTCTCCATTCGCATGCAGCAGCTTGCCTGAAGGCCTCTTAATAAATCGACGAATCAAGGCAATCCACGAACCCTTTCCATGCCACATGCTGTTCCGAACTTCTCCTCGATATCTTGCGTAACCAGCGTCACGAGCATAATAATCATTCACAGCAATTTGTTACATTCCGCCGTCTGGGTATGAAATAGACTTCAACCCGTCTTCACCAAGCGCTGGAGGAAGACGGGGTTACAAGGACACGATAAACTTCGATACACGGCACAAGAAACCTCCGTCAAGACTCGTGATGGCGTTGATCTGTTCTTGAAATTGTCGAGAAACTGCCTTCTCAAAATCGAAGCCGTCCACTGCGATGCATAAAGAATTCAATCAGCTCAATGCGGAGGGTCAACTAGGAGACTTTTGGCACACAGGGCAGCGAAGCACAGCGAAGCAATGCAGCATGCTGTGGTGAGTGTTGATTCTCATGAGGATCATGTAAGGGAGGCGAAGGAGAGCAGAAGCACGCGTGTTCTTCTCACTCTTCTCCTGCTGTCGCTCCTCCTCCATCCTGCTGGCCATAGATCCCATCTTTGTTCGCCCGAAGCCCCCTTCCCCCCACTGACCTCTTGTTTTACAGTTACTTTTTTTTCATGAAGGGGAGTTGCAATGGAGGATACGCGGCGGGCGACATGCCTAGTGGCAGGGATGGCGTTCGGAGTGGTGAGCGAGGAAGAGGACGAGAGAGAGAAAGCGAAGAATGGGAGCAGAAGAGGAAGAGCAACAGTGAGGGGGAGGGGTAAGGGGGTAGGGGGTAGGGGGGATTGTGGGGGGGCGATGTTCCGTAGGAGTTTCAAGTCTGATGATGCAAATGTCCAGGCATGGCTTGTTTTCATAGACAGCATTATCCAATACAACAGTGAGTACCTCCTGATGTCTTGATATATCTATCTCAAATTTTACTTGGTCCTCGCTTGTTTGCTCGCTATTGCACTTGTCGAGCTGTTGGAAACTTACTTGGTTCATTCAGCGTGTTTGGACCGGGTGAATGTAGATGACATCTGTGCATGGGGAAAGCCTCCGAACAACCAGACAATTGCACACGCTTCTGACAGAAATGTCCTTCTGGTACAAACATGCGGACAACTTGCTGTTTGCTCTGCCTCCCCATACTTTTTCCCTCTCCTCTTGACTACCATTGAATCATGCCTTTCTACCACTCTTGGTGCCCCTCCACACCCCCAGTGATAGCAAACTATTCTGCTGTAGCAGCATCCCTTCCTTGTGCCAGTACTGGCTCCGTCTCTCCTGTGACCCTCCTCTCCTCCTTGCAGATGACTACTCCAGCCCCTCCTCAATGGCCTGCCATCACTGGACGACCTGCGCTGGTCTACCTGCCAGGGGTGAGTAGGAAAGTCGTCCAAGAGCTTCCGCTGACTTCTGTGCGACCAGGTGCTCGGAGCAGTTGCGCTGTTCATGGTGAACACAGTGGAGCCCTATCAACTTTCCATGTCCTACGCGGAGATGGTGGAAGGGGCCTCGCCTACTGCCCTCAAGATCTGGTTGTTCGTCGGCATGCTCGCTGGTCTCACCTCCATCATCCTCAGCGTTTGGGTTCTTCTCGACGTCTACATGCGCGATCCTGCGCTGCATCATGAACCAGTGAGCGGCAGTTGTTGGCTCCCTTGCCTGATCTAACGGGCCGTCAACAGGCCATTGCTGCCATCGTGCAGTCTGTCTTCATCTTCGTTTCCTCCGGCATCTTTTGGGTCGGCCGTTCGTATGGAGAGGATGACTTGTGGGGAAGCGACCCCTTGCTTTGAGAGAATCATGTGACTTTGTCTTTTCTTGTATCATAATCTCAATGTAGAACTTAAGTCGATGTTTCCTGCGATTGTTTGAATAAGTTTGCAATTGGACTTCAAGTAGATCTCAGATTTGGAAAAGGACTGGTGAATGTGCGAAGCGAAGACCCTTCACATTTTTTTCTTTTTTCTTTCAAAATCTTTTGAGAAGTTATGGTTTACAAATCTCATCACTCAAAACCATCCAGCTTGAGAAGAAAGGAAATATACAGAGAGATGAAGGAGATTGCATCTTTCAAAGGATGCGTAGCGGGTCAAAAGCAGCTTCAAGCGGACGATCGGCCTTCCCGATCCCGATGAGCTAGCAGAAGGAGTCTTTCAAGATTGCTCCCGGCCCCACGTTCTCCAACTTGCCTTGACGGTGCAGCACCGTCCGGGAAACACGTCCACATAGCTAGCACGCCTCACTCCGTCAGCAAGGCCTTGTCCCTTCGCATCTGGCGGTTGAGCACCTCGAGCTTCTCCTGCAGCCTGACGTCGATGGATCGCTGGTGCGCGCCAGTCGTTTTGGGCGACATCCCTTGTCGGTTCACATCCTCCGTGCGGGGACCTTGGTGTGTCGACGAGTCTGCCGGCAGCCTCACCTTATCTTCCACGGAACGATGTAACGATGCTCCCTGGCTGGTCTCTGCTGTCCGAGACTGTCTAGAAGCACGCTTCGTCTGCATGTGATTCATGAGGGCCTTCACCATCGTATCCTCAGCTAACGCCACTTGAGCTCGAAGGTCTGCAGCTTTCTTGATCTTCTTAGCAATAATTGCAAGCTTCTCCTGTTCCTTTGCAATCTTCATTGCCGCTGGTACCAACAGGCTCGAATCCAGCTTGGTGGCCTCCCCTTCGTCAGCGTTTGAACCGTGATGCTGAATCGGTTCAAAGGAAGTGCCAACGATGTTTTGCAATTTCAACGAAGTCGGAGAGCGAGGAGAGGACTTGAAGGCATGCTCAGGGATTCTTACATCAGGCGTGCCAATAGGATGTCGTACTCCTGAATGCGCTTGACCACCCACTGGGACAAAATCTTGATGCGGAGGCACATAAGACACATCAAAGTCCTTGCCCTTGTAAACCGTTTGGAAACCCTGGCAAGCAGCAGGATTCTGCTCGCACATGTCAACTCCTGACTGAACATACACAAGTCCCCGTTCTCGGATCGTGTTGCGGAGATCACGAAGGTTGGGAACGAAGTTCGCGCCATTGCGGGCCGTGTGACCCATCCGTGGGCTGCCAACGTGCAGATAGAGGCGAATATGACAATCATCTCCTTTGCAGTTTTCCTCTGGCGTCACATCATACCCCTTTGCTTGCTCCAGCTCCTTGGCCTTCAAAGCCTCCTGCAGTTTTTGTTGCTGGTGCTTCTCGAAGAAGCGGAAAGCTCGGAGGACATCCTTTCTCGCAGACCTCCGAACCTTCAAATCTTCGTCTTCTTCATCTTCAGAAACCTGATGATGATGCTTCAATGGATGGATGGGAGCTGTTGCCACGGCTGCCGCTGCCGCTGCCACTGCCACTGCAGGAGCAGGAGCAGGAGCAGCGCGAGCAGAAGCGAGAGCAGGAGGTTTCTGTGACGCGGTGGAGCGATCAAGCGTTTTGGTCGTGGGGTGATCCTCGGAAGAAGCCAGCATCTGATTTGGATCATCGTCGGACAAGTGCGACCTCTCTTTTACTGCTAGAGGAAAGTAGCAACAGGTCAGAGCATCGGATGGAAGGGAGAGCAGCAGACGAAAGGATCGTACCTGACGCAACCATCGCACGAGGCGATGAACGCTTTCCCTGAGCAGCCTCGCCCGTTTCCCCACCCTTAGACCAGCAAACGTCAAGGACGAACACAACAGGGAGACATTGCACCACCTTGTCAGAGAGCTTCACGACCCGGCTGATATCCTGATTCATTAGAGCGTGTGCTCGCGTCATCCTGGAACCGACCCTGTCCAACTTCTTCTCGGTAGCCTGGACCTCGTTCTTCAAGGATAGGCTTCCAGCAGCATTAGGAGCATGCTTGCTGGAGAGAACATCCTTAGTCAGCTCGCTCAGCTTCTCCTCCAAGGCCGAGAAACTATCTGACGCCTCGTCAAACACGCTCTCCTCCTTTGCTAGTTTCCTTGTGTCCGAGGACAAGTACTTGACTTCCACCAGGCCTGTCCAGCCCGGCTGCACCGATGCAAACATGGCCATGAGGATACAGGCGGAACAGATGCCTGCTGTCAGGAGGAGAGGAGCAGTTAACCTTCGCCTTCCCTGCCATTGCTGCGCCGCCATCGTCGGCCTGCCTCTTCGGAGGTTCACTCATACAGCACGAAAACTGTAAATAACGGCTTTTGAACCATAAATTGGTAAAGTTTGGCTAAATTGTGGACCCCAGTACCCCTGAGGGACCGGGTAACTTTTTACCACCCTTACCCCCTCAAAGTATCGAATAAGTACCCCCTCATGCCCTTTTGTTTGCACTTTACCACCATCACCCCGTAATACGGTCGGGGTCATATGAGAGAGCCTCCGAAGCCTCGCTGATTCCCCACAAAAAGTCACGAAAAATGGGGGGTAGGGGTACCAAGGGCGCAATTGTCAGGTCCAAGGTGGGGGTACATGCAAGGGATTTGGAGGGTCCTTCTTGCCAAGTTGTTCGATAAGGAGGGGTGGCTGTTTGACGTCCTTCATGACTGCGAGACTTGAGAAGCAAGAAATGAACCAGCCTCTGATGGCGGGAGGAAGCGACAGGGAGGAGGAGGAGGAGGAAGTTGAGAAGAAATGGAGGGGGGGAGCAAGAAAGAGGAGGAGCAGTTGGAGGAGGAATAAGACTGAGGGACTGAGTAAAGAGGTTGAGGAGGGTGAGGAGCAGATAATGACAGATCTGGACAAAGTCGAAAAAGGAAAGAAGGCTCGAAAGGACGAAAGGGATCCAGAAGGCAGCAAGAAGTGAGGATGCCATTGCACGAGGATGATGAAGGATTGAGACGAAATGCAAGAGAGGAGAAGCTCGTTGGATCACCCTTCTAGAGTTGAGGCATGATGTAGACAGCCGAATGGTATTCAAGGACTGATCGAGAAAAAAGACGCAGCACGACCACGATGATTGAGGGACAAGAGGAGAATTGTGGGGTGTAGAGAAGCAACAAGGCAGGGGTCTCGCAGAGAGGAAGCAAAGAGTTGAAGGGGAGGAACATTCGCAACCCTACGTTTTGATCTATTTCACCTGAACTCTATGCAGCAATCCATCAGAGATTTTCCTGAGGCGGGATGGAAGATTGTGAGCAAGCATATGGCATTGGAGTGCAGGTTGCCTTGCTACATTGAGAGGGAGGTTTCAAATGACGAGCGTGCTCTAGTTTAAAGTCAGCGAGGGGAAAGCCGTGGTCTCTTATATCCGCGCTGACGGCCCGAGCTCCAACCTGGTCAGTGCTTGCATCCCTTCTTGCTCACTAGCCCTCCCATGTGTGATTGCTGCGCCGCTCCCACAGGATATAGCCATCGGGGATGAGCTTCAATCCGTTGACGGACAAAACATCGATGTCTCGCACTTCGACCATGTAGCTGTGCTCATCCGAGGCAGCCAAGGCACGCAGGTCCGACTCACATTGAAGCGTGATGGAGAGAAGAAGGAGGTGGTTGCTACCAGATCTGTCCAGCTCTCTACCAAGGTGAACTTCAGCTTGAGAGGTCTTGAGTTCACACAGCACATGGCTTCAGATGTATACGAGCAGACCAATGCTCGCCTGTCAGGTCCCTACCGAAGACGACGAGGAAGGCAGCGACACGAGACGAAGGTTGCTGCAGTCAAGGTTGTCTCGATACACATCAGTACTGATGATAATCTGATTATCGTTGGCTCGTTCTTCAAGGAATCCGAGGCCGCTATCAAGTTTGCCCAACAATGAGGAGTACGGCAACACGACCTGGATGCCCGACTCGAAGCATGACAAGAGTAAGCTAGAGTTCATACGCGATCATCTGTGGGCTGAGAGACAAGGGCAGAGAAGCATGGCAGCAGATCGATGGAGAGAAGTGAAGACAATGACGGTATCGACGTCCTCAAGAAGAAGTGCAACTATCTCAACAGGTTTTTCTCAAAGGCTGCTTTTTCAACCATGAAATGAACCCATTCACAGGGAGAACAAGATTCTCACAGACGAGCTTGCTTCTGAGCTCTCTGTACTTGATACAGCGGTATGGCGCCTGGTTGCTGACCTTGGCATCGCCAGGCTCGGAAGCAGCTGCTCAAGACGCTGCAGGATGAAGACAAGAATCCCTGGAGCAACCTGCTCGGTGAGCTTGTGCCAGCCATGCAGCCCTTCTTCTCCTTACCTCCAGAAAAGGATCGATCGGGCAGAAGGAGAACCAGAACATGCCGACGAAGGACCATTGGTGAACCTCTTATGTTTGCCGTCTACTTGACTCACGTAACTCTAGGGCCCAAGAAAGCATGTCTTCTCCAACGATGGAAGCGATTCCTTGGTTTGATGGATCAAGTCAGCCCAGTGCTAACACCTTCTGCATTAGGTACGAACGAGTTTTCACATGCGGGAAGCGTTTTCCGGATTTCGTTGTCAAGAATTGAAGCTTGCAATTGGACCATTGTAGCCAACAGAAGGAGAGTTTGATTTCGTGTGATCGCGGGCTCCTTCTCTGTATTCTGCTTTCGTACTCACAACTTTATGGTTTTATTCTTCTCAATGCAAGCATGTACAATTACCGAAATTCGAACCAGTTGCTAGGTTGGAAAACTTCTTGAAATCCACTCTCTCAGTCCGAATCCGTCGACGAGTCTGAATTGTTTCATCTCAAGTCAACTGAAGATGCCATCTTGACCAAAGGTTGATCCTTCTTCGAGATGACCTGTCGACCAATCACTTGTACTCCATCATGTTCGCGAGCCGAGCAAACCTGTCCGTTGGCGTCCACTAAAACATTCACTGGCCTCCCATTGAGCGAAATGTTGACCCATACTGGCTCCCTCGGCTGCAGCAATTACAAAGGAAAACAGCTACCTTTCACTCTCCCACTTACCGGAATGACAAAGTGGTGTTCCTCCTTGGTACCAGAGATATATTTCTGCCTCTCCGCCATGTACCACAACCCGGCCTGGCAGATATGATCGCACCGATGGAACCCTCTCCCATGCAGTGATACCTGTCGGTCGTCCCTCGCTAACTTGAGGGAAGCCTCGGGGATCCGGAAGACAACGTCGTAGAGCGGGGCAGAGGGAAGGTGCCTCGCCTTGTTGTCCATGATAGCTACATGATAGAAAGTCAGCGAGTTGACAAGGACAGGCACAAAGTCTGTGAGACAACCATCTTACCGCTAGCAGTATTGATTGCTGTGTCCCTTGCTTCCTTGGCATGTTTGGCTTCCTTCTGGAGAGCATTCTCTTTCTGTCGTCACACAAGTTCACTTCCTGCCTGGCAATCTCCACTCTCACTCTTCACCTTCAACACTTCTCGCAGCTGTTGCGTCCGGATCGTATTGGAAAACTCATCCCTGCGGGGATAATCCGACGACAAGAAACCATTCTTCTTTTTGTCCCCTGGGACGATATCTTTGTACTACGATGGCATACCTCTCAGACCATTTCACACTGCAAAGCCTCCTAACCTTGATGGATTCCTGGTATTTGTCCTTCTGCTCCGACCACAGCAGGACAGGAGCTGAGATCGTTCCCTGAGAAGACAGCATCGTCAGGCTTCACTGTCAGCCGCTGACTGCTGTCTCACAGGAAACACTTTGGAGTTCTCATGCCTGAGGGGACCAGCCGTTAGCTGCTTCCCCTTGTGCCTCTCTGGCCGTATGTAGCTCGACACGTACGGCTCCCCGAGACAGAGCGGAGGAGGAGCAGTGAACGTGCCGAGCAGGCGGCGCGTGCCGGCATTCTCCTCTACCTTGGGAGCATTCTTGGGAGCTGATTTTGCACCCGCCATTGATGGACTTGGAGGAGAATCTCGACGCAGTCCTCCAAACTGACGCCGATGTGACCTGAGCCAGCAAAGCAAGAGTCAGCGTGTAGTGTAGTTCAGCTCTCGTTACGATGATGCTTTTGATAATGGTTGAGACTTATAGAAGAAGATGTTTCTTCAGGGAGACTGATCGTGAAAGCTTGTAGATCAAAGGGGAAATCGCAAGAGTTGACAATATGTTCTGATTCGTGTGGGTGTGCTTGCAGATTCGCAACCGGCCTCTACAAACACTTTTGGATGAGGCAACACCAACGAGCAATGGCATGCTGGGGACAAAAGAGGAGGAAAAGCAGCGGCAAGTCAATCTCAATAAAAGGTCTGTTTGCACTGACATACTCGTGCAGGACTCGGCAGAGGATAGGGCATGATTCAGTCTGCCAAAGGAGTGCCAGAGGAAGATGCGAAGGGGAAGAGAAGGGAATGAGAATGGACAGGAAGCGACGGAGCTAACAGATCCTCGAGCATGTTCTTTGCCGTCTTTCGGGCGACATGACGTTGCCCAACGCATAGGCGGAAGAGTTCGGTAATGCCACGGGGCCCAATCCAGCCCTCTTGATAATGGCCTCTCATGGTGAAGGATTTCCTATCTCTGGTACTAAGATAAAATGGCATCCTCCCCATCTTGCCCCTCTTTACCCCCATCACTCCGACCCCCGGTAACTGTTGAAGCAGGACCTACCGTACCGTGATCTCCCCGTGCTCCCACGGTACCACCAACTGTCGGACTCCGAGCCTACCACCCCACCCTATCCTCCCATCGTCCTGTACCTACCCCATCCTTGAACCACTTATGGACACAGTTGATTATGAGGGGTTTATACCACCCACCCCTGTTAAATTTGCTGACATTGGGCAGCAAGTACCTCACACTGTAGGAAATACTTTCTGCCTCTTCGTAAGCACTACATTGCTTCTGAGGCGGATATTTATTGATCCATGCTCTTTGAGAAGGAATGTACAAGCATTCCCTTTTCTCCTCTCCTCTCCTCTCCTCTCCTCTTCTCTCCTCTCCTCTTCTGTCTTCTCATCTCGTTCTCCTCTCCTCTCTAGTGTTGTGACTTTCCTGTCCTGTTCTTTCTTTCTCTCATCCTTTCCTTCTGAGAATCCACCTTTCGTTTCCTCTCGTTCTCCTCTCTTATTCGCTCCTTCCTTCCAGACAATCTGCGGTTTCCGCCCTTCCATCTTGTCCAGCTTTTCTTTCACTCGTCCTCGTCTTGACGCTCTTTCCCATCCTCTGCTTTCTCTGCGGTCTCGACAGTATGATTTCATCCCCCCCCTCCCCTCGCCAACCCCCGCCGCAACCAAAGGAACTAGAGTAGACAAGTCCGTGCAATATATTAGGGGACAGGAGACATACTGGTCAAAAGGCATGTTAAAGCACAGATTTATTGTTCACATGGCTTTGCAGTGCTCTGATTCTTTCACAACAGGATCAGCTTGTCTTTCGTTTCAGAATGAGTTTGAAAATTCTGTAAGCGCATGAATCCTTCACATTAACCATAAAAGCAGAAACACCGGAACAGCAGCAACGATGTCAGCAGCTGAGCCGGGGACCGGAAAGAAGCAGCGCGTGCTCCATGAGCGCTGCCTACCTGAAGGAGGAACGTCAGATGTCACTTCCAAGAGTGCCAGTCTTGACGACACGACGGTGGAGGACGCGGCGATCAACTTTCCATTCGAGCTCGACCCGTTCCAGACGGCAGCGATAGATTGCTTGCACAGGGAGGAATCTGTCCTAGTGGCCGCACACACTTCAGCAGGTAAGACGGTCGTTGCGCAGTATGCGATCGCTCTTGCGATCAAGCACAATCAGAGGGTGATATACACGACGCCCATCAAGGCGCTTTCCAATCAGAAGTATAGAGATCTGGGGATGTTTTTCTCGCAGCAGGACATCGGGCTCATGACAGGAGATGTGACGGTGAACTCCGAGGCGAACTGCATCGTGATGACGACGGAGATTCTGAGGAGCATGCTGTATCATGGTTCAGACGAGCTAAGGGAAGTTGCCTGGGTCATCTTCGACGAGGTCCATTACCTCCGAGACAAGGAGCGCGGCGTTGTGTGGGAGGAGGTAAAGCAAGTTGCCTCTCAGTTTGAACTTGTTTTATCCTGACGTTCCTCTCCTCTCTCTCTCCCCCTCTCCTCTCCTCTTCCCTCCCCTTCTCTCCTCTCCTCTCCTCTCCTCTCCTCTCCTCTCCTCTCCTCTCCTCTCCTCTCCTCTCCTTTTCTCTCCTCTCCTCTCGCCCCTCTCGTTCATCCTCCTGTATCAGAGCATCATCTTGCTTCCGATACAGATCAAGCTCGTCTTTCTATCCGCAACCATCCCAAACTCCTTGGAGTTCGCCCAGTGGGTTGCAAACCTCAAGGGCCTGCCGTGCAATGTCGTCCAGACAGACTTCAGGCCGACTCCTTTGCAGCACTTCATGTTTCCCGCAGGAGGGAATGGCATTTTCCTCATCCTGGACGAAGCTGGGAACTTTCTCGAGGATAACTTCATCAAGATGATGACTCTGCAGGACAGCCGCGCGGAGTCGAAGACCAAGGGGAAGGAGCAGCCAGACATCATCAAGCTTGTCTCCTTCGTGGCTGACCGCGGGATGTGCCCTGCGATCGTGTTTGCCTTCAGCAGGAGAGAGTGCGAGGCCCTGGCGCTGCAGACTTCAAGGTGCAAGAGCCTGAGGCTGGTGGGGGAGAGCCAGGTTCTCTCCATCAAGGAGGTGTTCGAGAAGGCACTGCAAGGCCTCGCCAAGGAGGACCAGGAGCTTCCTCAGATTCAGAACATTCTCCCGCTGCTCTGCTGCGGGATCGGAGTGCACCACTCCGGCCTTCTTCCCATCCTGCGGGAGCTGATTGAGATCCTTTTCCAAGAAGGTCTTGTCAAGGTCGAGATCCGTTACTCGTGTCATGCTCGGCATGCTCTGAACTGTTGGTTGGCTGTTTTAGGTGTTGTTCGCAACGGAGACGTTTGCTCTCGGGCTGAACATGCCAGCCAAGACCTGCATCTTCACAAACTGTCGCAAGTTTGATGGGCAGGACCACCGATGGATCTCGTCGGGCGAGTACATTCAGATGGCAGGGAGGGCGGGGAGGAGGGGAATCGACGACAAGGGCTGTGTTATCACCATGTTCGACGAGCATCTGGAGCCTGAGGTAGTTGACCTGATTGTTTCATGTCATGCATGTGCTGGGATCGATGATTTACCGTCATGCTTTCAAGAATGCAATTTTGTTCGATCTCAGCCTTGCTTTGCCTGTCGTTGCTCCCTGCCTTGATGTTGTTGTCTGTTTGTTTGCTTGGTTTCTTTTCATGCTTCTTTCCTGCCAGACGGCAAGAGACATCTTATGCGGTCAACCCTCGCCTCTTGTCAGCACGTTTCATCTCAACTACAATATGATCTTAAATGCTATGCGGAGCTCTGGTAATCAATGGAATCTGCAAACACCTCTTGACCTCCTCCTTTCTCCTTTCTCCCATCCTTCTTCTCTCCTCCTTCCTCCTGTTGTCCCCTGCCCTCGTTTTCTTGCCCACTCTCTCAATTGTCACTCCTGCAGGTGTCGATCCGGAAAAGATCATTACGAAATCTTTCCACCAGTATCAAAGTTGCATCTCCGTCTCCTCCACTGAAGTACACCTTCTGCTCCTTCTGCTCCTTCTGCTCCTTCTGCTCCTTCTGCTCCTCCTGCCTCCTTCTTCTCTGCTGTAATGTTCGTGCGACAGTTGAGGAGCAAGGAGCTCGAGGCAGAGGTCAGCGAGCTACAAGCTCCGAACGAGCACGATGATCGGGAAGCAGAAGCTTTTTGCGAGCTGCTGGAGCTGTCGAACGTACTTCGCTTCCTTCATGCTCCGCTCCTTCACACTTCACACAGGACCTCAAATGCGAGATCTCTTCCTTCTCGACCAAACCAGTGAGATGTGGAGGAGGAGAGCAGCAGGAGGAAAGGGGAGGATGCGAGGAAATGAAGAGGAGGAGTAAGTGGAAAGGGGAAGAGAGGGCCTAGAGTGGGATTAGGAGGAGAAGGAGGAGGGAAGGCGAAGAAAAGAGAAAACAAATGGTGGTGAATTCGTTGTGATTGGCAGGATGTCGCTCTTGGAGTCTTAAGGCCTGGCCGAGTCGTCAAGGTCATGGAAATCATCTCCTCCTCCTCCTCCTCCTCCCCGACTGTCGACTGGGGCTGGGGAGTTGTCCTTGGGTTTGCCCGGAGGACGAAGACAAAGAGCACGGAAGAAAGTGTCGGGGATGCTCTCCCTCCTGCGACCTCGCGCGATGCCTACGTCCTCCACATCCTCCTCCCCGTCTCCCACTCCTCCTCCGACTGCAGGTGGGGCTGTCGTGAGATGAGGGTGTTGAGGGTTACGAGGAGGAGAGAGAGGGGGGGGTGGGAGGAGATAAGAGCAGGAGCAGAAGGAGCAGGAGGAGAAGGAGGGCAGGAGGAGCAGGAACAGGAGACAGGAAGAGTGGACAGGAGCGGGAGCGGGAGCAGGAGCAGGGCGATGAGGAGGAGGAGGAGGAGGAGGAGGAGGAGGAGGAACAGGAGGAGCAGGAGGATTGTTCGTGCTGACAAGATGTGGTGCAGAGAGGCTGTGGACCTGCGCTCGGAGGGGGAGATAGTCACCAAACTGATCCCCTGTAACTGGAAGTCGCTCTTCCTCCCTGGTGGAAGGGGAAGGCACCACCAGGCCGGCAGCTGGCGGCCGATCGTGATGCCGGTGATGATGGGCAACAAGAGGAGTTGGGATGTAGAGGAAGAGGAGTGAGTGAGTGAGGGAGGGAGGGAGGGAGAGGGAGGGAGGGAGGGAGGGAGGGAGGGAGGGAAAGGGAGGGAGGGAGGGAGGGAAGAAAAGGAGGGAGGGAGGGAGGGAGGGAGAGGGAGGGAGGGAGAGGTTGTAGACGCAAGGTATGTTGATACTCGTGCAAACATATGAGGTCAGGGTGGAGTAGAGAAGAGGATAGTTCGAGAAGGGATAGGAGGGATGACGGCCCTTGTTGGACAGTTCCTCCTCTCTTGTGTTGAATACATCTCCACCATCGTTGTCGATCTTCCGAAGGATGGAAACATGAAGGAGGTCAAGAGGCAGAAGGAAGCCATTCGCAGCATGTTCAGGTGAAGCTCCTCTTGCTTGTTGACGCGTTGCTAAGGGTTTGTCAGCGCGGTTAACTCTCACACCGAGGAAGAGGTACCTCCTCCTCCTCCTCCCTCCCCTCCCCTCTTGCTTCTCCGTTTCGCTCTGCTCCTCCTCCCTGTCCTGCTTTTCTGCTCATCCTCGTCCCGCCTCTCTCTTCTCTCTCCTTTTCCTTCTTCTCCTCATCTCCCACTTCCTCCTCCTCTTCCTCGTTCCCCCTCCTAACATCTCATCGCAGCTCGTCCTCGACGCCCACTACCACCTCAGCATAGCGGATGAGACGGTCAAGCGCAAGAGCGAGCAATGGCCATCCGTGCGGGATAGGAT